AGTTCAATTGTTTTGAAACATTTAATTTTCTGAATATTGCTTAATCTTAATTTTTGTTCTAAGATTTATACTATATATTTGACTTACAATTTATTTAAAAGACATCATATGATATCTTCTCCTAGTATTATTTTTTTCCTCTCCTAGTATTAGAAACTTTAAAAAGTATATTTCCATTTTCTGTTGACTTTTAAAAAAAAACAACACGGAGGTTTGTAAAAAAAAAAAAAAAGAAAGAGAAATGTGAATAATCAGAGGTGATTTATTAATATTGTTGTGGCACTGGATAAATATCCCAAGGAAAGGGATGAGGATTACATATTACATTTGACCAAAGTATTCAATGAAGGACAGAGAGGAAGAAGCTGAATGGGCAAACAAAGCCTTGGAAAAGCAATAAGGAAGATGGGGTGCTAACCACAGCGGGAGTACAGGCTCCAGAGGCCAACGCTTTTGACTTCACCCACAGACCAGAGATAAATGAGTCCATCAGGCAAGCACTAAGCACCCCACTCTGCACACTGTTCTGCCCTAGAAATCTAAGGAAATCACACTGAGGAAGGCTTGGTCCCTGCCCTCAGGACACCACCAGTCTAACCTCCAGAGCCAATTCTTAATGTATAAGAGAAAGGACTGGTGATAGCTCAGATCTCACAACTCAGGGATAGTATGCTATCTGATTTTCTGACACCTTGATAAAAATTCTCCATGTGTAATCACTTCTTTTCTGGGGAGGATAAAAAGTTGGTCTCAATATTTCAATTCTAAGAGGCTCTCCAAGCCCAGATCCTCAGCCCTGCAAAACTGCTTGAGGCATGCTGTCACTGAGAAGGAAAACTCAAGCTAGGTAGGATGCTCACATTGCAAATGACAAATGACTTCGGTCTGGCTCAAAAGAAGTTGGGTGCATTGTCTCAGAGAACTCTGAGAAGAGGGGCTATTCAAAGCATGGTTTCATTTCATAGGGCTCCAGCTGTGTTTCACCAAGATACTCTGAGCTCCACAATCCTTGGTAGGACTTCCTCCCTGGGGACAAATGTTGTCCCTGCAGTTCTAAAACAGCTTTTGTCACACCTCAACCTTCCAAGCAAAAGGCGTGAGTCACGTGTTTAGAGCCAAACAGCTGGGAGATGGCTTGTGGTGATTGGCCTAGCCTAAAACACATGCTCTGCCCTGGGAGCATATCTGTTGCCCATACAGACAGAAGTGGGGGCTTCCAGGAAGGAGGAAAAATGCAAATTCAGGCATCAACTTTGCCACCTCGAGAATATCAGCTCTGAGTGTGACTCACCCTCTGAAAAAGGGTCCCGCAGACACAGGCAGCGTTCATATCCTGCCCTTTGCCTCTTCCATCTACCAGCACCATCTTTAAAGGGAGAATTCAACTCTTCCTGAGAAATACATCTGTACCTGCAGAGGCAGGTATGCTGCATGCGCTTCCAAAGACAGTCACCACTCCTCCCATACCCATTTTTATTCTCTCCCATGTTCCAATACCCCTCCCTGCTGGATTTGCCAAGTCCCAGACTTCTCCATTTGCAGGCCAGGAAGTTGCCTGGATCTGCAGGAAGCACCCTTCACAGGAGCAGCTGCAGGCTTCCTGGCCCACTCCTTTCCTGCATGCACAGGCCTTCTTGCAGAGCCAGGTGAAATCTCTCAGCTTCACGTGGTTCATCTGTCACTTTCATTTGCAGTGCGATCACACATTTGCATTCCCTGTCACTTGATGACACTTTAGGAGGGAGGAGATGAACACATGTGGTCAGTGGACCATCTTAGGCTGGAAGTTGCTGACCCACTTTTCCCATGAAAATCAAGTCTTCTGCCATGCCTGTTTGACTTACATGAATCCATGTGAAAGACTGAGTGGCAAAGTGCCTTAGCAGCCCCTGCCACACAAGGGGTGTTTTGAGAGACTGTTGGCCGTGAAGGGTAGAGAAGGTGACTAGAGACTGCAGAAGGGGCAGTGGTAGGCACACAGACCTGGTTTGTAATGACCTTCAACACCAGCACATAGAACAGGGTCACATGCAGCACTGGCTTGCTATCACCTTCCCCTTTACACTCCTGTTTTCCCTCTGTGGCACATGAGCTCTGTTATAATTGGTACTAGTCAAAGTTTTTGGGTTGCAAGCAGCAGAAACTAAAACCAATTCAGCAGAAGCTAGGCTGTAGCAGCAGGTACTTATGAAGACAGCCCCAAGACAGGGACTTAGGAAACACGGAGGATGTAGGCCCACAGGAAGAATTCATATTCACCAGGAAAACATATACCCTCTGCTGGCCACCTCCAGTGTACTGGCCTCCTGCCCGCAACCTCTTTCAGTAGGGAAGAGCCCGAGTTCTGTGGCTGGCACCTATGCCCAGCCAGTGCCAAGATGCTCAAGCTTCAGGCCAGCAGCCTGATTCTGGGTGATGGGGAAAGACGAGGGGGTGAGGCCTAGGATGACACTGACCCTCCTGATTCCTCAAGTCTGAAGCCCCCAGCACTGGCCCAGAAAGGCAGGCTGAAGTCAGACAACTGGTGCCATCCTCCTCCAGCCCACAGGAATGACCTGTGCCAGTCTGGTGGGACCTCCCCCTCCCCCCAGCCTCCTGACAGAGGGCTGAGCAAGCCACGTGGAGTGTGGGTCAGGTTTGCTCCTGGAAGAGGAGCTAATGGAACAGGATGCCACATTCTTCAGCCCTACAATGAAAATTTCCCCAAGCTGGCCGGAGGGAGTGGTGCGGGGGTTCCCTATGCACAGCCCAATCCCACCTCCCATTACTGCCCCACCCAGCAGAGCCAAAGGCACAGATATTTCTAAACCCACTTCCCCACCACCTATCAGATTAGATTTAGAAATCCAGAGCAGACAAAAGCCACTACATAATAAAATTTTACGTATAATTCTGCAAGTGTATATAGAGCGGCCGCAGCCTGCGATCTGGGCCGCCCCTCAGCATTTGGTGTACACGGCTGCCCCGCCCCGCTCCTCGAACTCTTCCCTGCTGACCCACAGCTGCTGGAAGGCCTCCAGGGAGGACAGGATGGAGCCACCAGTCCACACGGAGGTCTTCCTCTCGGGACCAGCAGCCACTATGGGGCTGTCCTCAGGGCAGAGCAGGCTCAGCTCTCTCTGGTAGCGTTCGGGGAAGCCGTCGAGCATGGTGCAGCCCCCGCACAGCAGCACGTTGGTGGCCATCTCCTCCTTGAAGCCTGCTTCATCGCACCGATGCAGGCAGGCAGCCGTGAGAGCGGGGAGGCTGGGTTGCGGGCAGCCCACCAGGGAGGGCCGAAAGGGCACCTCAGCGCAGCGAAAGCGCTCGTGGCTGAGGGTGATGACCTTGCCATCCGGGAGCTCGTAGTCCAGGCACAGCTCTTCCAGGCCCAGCTGGTCCTCCTCGGGCAGGAGCGCCGTGTAGCAGCATTTCTTCTTAATGTGTTCTATGATGTGCAAGTGGTCATCCGTGAACTTGTGGCCAGCCTCGTTGAGCAGCTGCATCAGATAGTTGGTGAGGTCGCCACCTGCGTAGTCGGCGCGGCTGGTGAGGCCCGGGAGCAGCTCGCCCTGGGAGACGGGCACCACGTGCGATACGCTGTGCCCGCTCTCCACCACCAGCCCCGTGGTCCGGCCGTACGAGTAGACGGAGAGCAGCGCCTGGGACGCCACATGCATGGCCGGGATGCAGAAGGTCTCGAACAGCAGCTCTGCGTACTTCTCTCTGTTGCTGCTGGCGCTGAGTGGGGGATCGGAGACCAGCACCGGGTGCTCCTCGGGGCAGATCTTCATGGCCGTGTGGAAGATGTACTCCCAGATGCTCTGCACGCAGTCCCAGTCCACTACCACGCCGTGCTTCAGCGGGTTGACCAGCTTCAGAGGCGCCTCTATGTTGAGCAGCTCGTGGCCCACGTAGGTTTCCTTGCGGGTGTCGCCAGCGTCCGCTGTCAGCTCGGGACTGCGCTTACCCACCGTGGAGGAGATGAAGTAGGTGGGCCTTGGTTCTCCCCCGTAGCCACACTTACAGTACTGGGAGCCAAGGTCAATGATAAGGGCCTTGAAGTTGTGCCCCTTCCGGGGCTTCATCTGCCGAGTGGGCGAAACTGTGCTCCTGATGCCAGTATCGGGCCCTGGCAGTGTCCCTACATCTCCAGGGTCCCCCTGAGCTGTTCCCAGGGGCGTGGGGCTGTTCTTTGTTGCCATCTGCCTTCCTTTCCTACCTACTCACACCCACATCCTAGAGCTCCAGCGGAAATGAGCAGCCTCTCCCAACAGTGCCTCGGCAACCCCCTAGGGTTGTGACGTCACTAGGCTGGTCCATCCATTCAGGCCCTCAGGGAGGGCTGAAGCCTGTCACTGCTCCCCTTCTCTTTCTACTATAGTTTGTCCCAGGCTGGCCAGCAGTTTTAGAAATCTAAACAAAATGGGGTCCCAGAGATTTCTGCTCTCTGCCCTTACAGCTCCAAGCTGACACCCTTGTTCACTGGCAACACTTTCTCCTTTGCTTCTTGGCAGTGATATATTTGAGCCCTATACCAAGCACTTCATTTAATTTCATGACAATGAAAGCCGCACCTTGTAGTGACTGCCTTTTATGAAGAGCATGGTGCACTCCAAGGTGCTGCATGACTGGATTTGGACATCCAGAGTTTGGCAGCTGTCAACACCAATGTGTCCAGATAGAGGAAACACAAGTGTCCAAGCAGCCTCAGAGACTCATGTTGGGTCTCACTATGGTGGGAAAATTTGAATCAACAGTAGCCAGCAGCTCAGGAGAGAGAGAAAACAAAATTAACACTAGTGGACCCAAGAGAAGTAATCTCCAAAGTCTGAGGGGGGATTACAGACCTTATGTTATTTATAAGGTGGTGAACATACAAGAACAACATAAGCTTTTGCTGGAGGCCAGGCCACAATGGGTATCTTCACACCACAGCGATGAGCATACCTGTATATGCAGCAAGTTCTGTTCAGCACATTCACAGAAGTTTAGCACATTCACAGAATCATATTTGATGACAAATCATATAATTTAAGCTGTATTCAGTGGCAAAGCACAGAATCACAGCTTTATTGAACAAAATGGCTGCAGTTAGGCCAGGATTTCTGCTTCATCGTGGTGTCCACAGCACACTCCAGAGTGGAAGCTGCAGTAGGACAGCCTGGCCATGCCTGCCCGGACATCCTTAGGGGAAGCTATGCCCTGTGAGCCTCAATATTCTCATTAGGGGGACTTTGTAGTATCTGCCTAGCCCAGGACCTCAATGAAGGACAAGCAGGTATACAAATATATGCCCAGAAATAAGTCCTCCTAAGACAGTCCTCAGTGTCAACCATGGCATCCAAAGCGAGAAGAGCTTGGCATGGTCACTCAGCAGCAACGGAGCCTATGAAAACCTGTCACATGATGTCAGTTCACTGCTCAGGAGCCTGGGCTTTCTAACCTCACCTAGGCAGGGCCACCAAAGTCCTTGGGATGGTCCACAAGGCTTGATGGGAGCTGTTTGCCACCCCCCATCACATCTTCCAGCTTTTTTCTGGCTCCTCTCATCTGCCACAATGGTTTTCTTGCCAATTGTGTGGGGGGGGGGG